AAATGGTTTACAACTGAAATTGTTTCTGACTTACGAAACTGTTTCTGACTTATGAAATTGTTTCTGGTTTATGGCAATCTCAGATTTGTGGACTTTGAAGCATGTAGCTATTCCTGGAAAGGTGAAGTAGGAAGAGCTAGTGAGATGTTCTGACAACTCGGTAACTTCAGCCTCTGAGGCGATAATCTAGAAGCAGTTCTCAGAAATCAAACTGGTCCTCAAGAAAAGCATCCTGTGAATCTTTACCTGGAAGAAAGCTGCAGCCAAAGCCTGGAACCAGCATGCCCAGGAGGGAAGATTCAAACAAGAAAGTAAAGGAGTGAAAGGCAACAGTACTTCCAGTGATCGACTTGCCTGTGTCCATCAACATCTAATTATCATAATACTGTAATATCTTCATATGTATTTTCCTAATAGGAAAGAAAGATCACGTAAGACAAAAATGACCAAACTATGTTGTGTCTGAAGAAGAGAAATACAACTCTTTGCCAAGCCTTTGCAGGAGTCAAATAACCACAGACCTTCCATTCTTCCCTGCAGGTATTTTTTCTCCTGGCCACATGACAGAGCACAAGCTAGGAATCTAATATATAACAGAATTACTGAGTTAATATTTTGACTCTCCATTAAAAAAGCTTCAAAATGTTTGTGTGAAATGCATTAATTTGTTTTGGTCTGGCTTTTGCAGTGTCTTTGCAGTCAGTGGTACAATTAAATACACTCCTTTCCAGAAAACATTTTCTAGATCCATTACAACAATGAAACTGTTGATACCTTCAAACCCCCCATTCTGAGCCCCAGCCATACCTCACATAGGAGATTATGCTGCTGGTAACCCCATCTGACATATGCCAGGGGTATGCATGTGGTATTTGGGGATACCAAGGCTCTGTGAAGGCCACAGAGAGCACTGCCTTGAGCAATACATCTCTCCTCATAAGGGCTTCCTGAGCCTCGGGGTTAGTGTGATCAGCAGGTGATGGACGCTGGCTATGTGGATCTCAGCCACAGCACCTTCATAGCTGCCAAGTTCCTGGTGGCAATAGAACCCAGGTTTTTGGCCCAGAATGATCACCAAGTTCTTTGAGAGCTGAGAGATTCACATAGTATTGCCCAGGAATATCTGTTAATTACTAATTGTGTGACAATTGCTAGACTCTCTGAATACATAATGAAGTACATGACATCTGATTTTGAGAAACTGGACACCCCCAAGTGATGGGTCTGTTACATGAATGGCACTATTTTCCTGCAGGGATAACTATTTTCCCATTAAGATAACGATGTGCGTGCACTGATCAAGGATGAGCAGCAGGAAAAGCATGCTGTCATTAAGGGGATACTCTTAGCCCACCATCCCTGAAGTATCATGGGGTCAATCCCCACCAGAACTTTATAAACCTTGCTAAATTTTTTCTATGTCATTATGTCCTAAGAGTGACATGCAAAAAAACCCAGTATCATACAGTACAAGAACATAATAGGTTATTCAGTATCAAGACAATGCTAACAAGATGTGACTGATTAGTTTTTATATATTAGAAAACAAATTAAAAGGTGATTACTTTGCGAAGGACCTGAATTATGATAAGATTCTGTGATATCTTCCGTTTAATGAGGATACATTGGCATTAGAACTATGTGCCTCAGCTTTGTCAGGAATTTTTCTCATTAAGCAGCCTGTGCCTTCTACCATTGTCAAAATATGGGTTCTTATTTGTGCTTATGTTTAACAGAGCATTAGTAGGTCTTTCCAGCAGAATATGCAATTTGCTTTTCAGCCCATGACCTTTAAGGCTGTTGCATGTTATATGCCTTTATTTTCTTCCTAGCAGATGCTGCACAGCACTGGGAACAATGACAGAGCTGCTCATTGGCGGTAACCACTGGCTGTTTGAAATATGTTATTTTCCTTTATTTACTTCAAGCATATTATTTCCCTCTCTGCCCCATACCCTTGTACACTTTGCTTCTGTTTGCTTGTTCCTTCATTTATGATCTTTAGCACTACTCAAAATTGCTGCTAGTTTTCTTCCACTGTCTTTTGAACTTCATGTAGTTTGTAGGTAAGGGTTAAATCTATCTCCACCATGGATTAATCCTGGTTTCTGAGCTCCTTATTTATGCTTTTAGACTTTGTTTCTGTAGGTAACTTCTTCCTAGTTATGACAACAAATACACAGTTTACTACTATTCCCACGATGCTTGTTTTCTTTTTCTCCTTATTTCAGATAGCTGTTCAGTGTGTGCTGTTCCAAAGCTTCTGCTGTGCTGCTTCTTCTATTCTTCTTCTATTGCTGTTAACCTAAAACAGCGTTTACAGAAGACTACTTTCAGCCATACCATCACAGATTTCTTGTAGGGTTCACATAGGCAGTGCTGAGGCTGCAGCTCCTGCGCACGCATGGTTGCATGCACACCTACATAAGATTTGTGTGTAGGCTTCAGTGCAGGCTGGGTTAGAAGATGTCCTTCGCACTTTGTCCCTCAGGTGGTGCATCAGGTCAGCTCCATCCTCCAGCAACGTCACTGCATTGAAGTGGCACACCACAGTACTTGCACACAGCAGCAGAAACTCTTGACTAGCTAGGAGGAAAGTCCTTCCTCTGTTACACAGAGGCTTCTTGGTCATGAGATTTACAGTCAGCAAACAAACCAAAAAACAAAAATCCAAGAAAGAAGAAGCAAAAAACCAGCAGATTGAAAGAAGAAACACTGTCCTTAACAAACCATGACTGCACTGGATTTGTGACAACCTTAAGGCTGACAGTTTTGGGGGGGTTGTGCAATCCTTCTGTACTCATTATTTACCACAGAAATTTGCTGTCTGCTGCACATTTCCAGTGAGGGGCATTCCCTGATTTTTGTCAAAATAGAAAGAAACCCAAGGCAAGACACATGTATATGGTCCCTACTCCCATTTGAAGCCGATTCCCTACCAACAATAATTTCTTGATTTTTTTTGGTTACTTCATCTTGATTTTTCTCCACCCACTTTCAAATAAGTTAAGCAACAAGGTTACCTCTCAAAGTGAGATTTGATTGGCAAAATATCGTTTAGATATTTTTTCCCTACTGACAAACACAGACTATTGATCTGAGGTCCATGAGGAACAACAAACATAAAGTCTCTTGGTATTTGCCTGCAGAGTCATTTGTCATTGCAAAGCTGGACTTTGGCATACTGTCCTGAATTAGCCCTGAGATTTGCCAAGAACTTTTAAATAATCTTCTGCAGAATCAGTTTATCTGTATTATACCAAGACCAAGTCCTTATATGTTTAGAGGTACGAAGCCAACTGTTTGTTACTAAATGTTGAACAGACTAAATGCATTTATGAGTAAGAAACTTTTGTCATTCATTTACATGATTTTGAGGAGGGCTTTGAGAGTGAATGTCAAGTGTTATATGGCTGGCAGATAGCCATGGGAAAGTTCTTATATTCTTTATTGGTATACTAACAGCTACAATTTACTAATATTGATAGCAGTAATTTAATGTCAAAGAAAATAAAGATTCTCAAACCAATCAAGATAGTTATATTTTAGAAATAGTCAACATAATTTTTGAGTTATATTTTTCACAGACATTTTAAGAGACTAAAGTCTAAAAAGTTGCAATTTACGTTTTACTTTTTTTCTACTGGTTTGAGATATTCTATAGCAAAAGATTTAATCAATCTGTACTTTAAGTGCTTTCATTGGCTTTCTATATTTTAATAAGACATGCTAAGGATGTTGATTTAAAAAATTAAAGAAAAAATAATAAAATAATTTAAATATTTACTGATTTGTGTTTCTTTTCTTTCATAACCATGCAACTATCTAGTGTAGCTCGTATGTTAAAATCCTATCAATTGAGTCACTATAAAACAAAGCAATAGCAATAAGTTAGACTCAAGAAACCTTAAGTGAAAAGGTACAAATGTCAAGTCACAATATGTTTTTACTATATAAAAGTAATCCACTGTTAATACTTAAAAAGGTGACTTCTCAAATATTACTTGTATTTTGTATGTGTGTCTATGATAGTTTAAAGAAGATTAACAGTCCCTAGGAAAGCTCTGCTGTTCCTACTGAGGAAATACAAACTCTTTGGTGTTATAATTTGTCATTCTTCCTCTTTTGCACCACAGTCTGACAAGTCTAGCTGGAAAGTGTGATAGTGAAGGTGGTGTCAGTAGGAGAAAAGAGAAATGACAGTGACAACTAATTGATAAAAAGGAAACTGATGCTATGTCACGGGTTGATCCACCGTACTTTTATCTCAGGGCATTGGCAATAATAACTATATTAGCAAGACAAAACAGAAAGTCTTTTTGCTGGTATGATTTCCTCCCTTACTAGAATAAACATTATTTGTAAAGCAAAAACAACCTTCTTGTCCTCATGAGGAGGGCTTCCATTGAGGAGGAGACAGAGGGAGGCAAACTAAAGCAGCAGCACTCATCAACCCTTTACATTGGCATGTCGTCCAGTGTCCCAGTCACTGATCCTGCAGCTTCATGCCATACTTGGTTAAAACCCAAAGAAATTAATGGAAATTCACTCCAATATTAAGGGAATCTGCATTTAACACTAGTCATCAAAGGTTAGTGGATTAAACAGACAGGACTTTTATCTCCCACCTCCTTTTCCCCGTTTCCCTTCTCCTGCTCTCCTGTACACACACTGTGGATGTACAGCAACAGCTACATCATCTGGAGACTTTAAACCATCTCAAATACCCCACGGGAGCATGTCAGAAAGGGCTTCTTACAGAACTGGTGAAAAGGGACTTGTATTTTGTTAATGCTACAAGCTATACCTGGCTGTAGACTAGGGGGAAATACCAGTGACTTTTGGACAAGGAAAAATAGTTTTTGTGTTTTAAGGGATTAATAATGTATATAAGGATAATGGTTGAAAGATGAGCACTAGTATGTAGTGGTATGTACACATAAATGTTTTGCTGGATCACAGGAATTTAGCCAGCAATGTGCATAAGTCACATTGGTCCTCTGGTCAATCAGTCATTTTTCAGAGGGTTTACGATTTTCCCTATGAAGAGGACAGTGCGGGTGTATTTATCCAGAATCAGCAGGAGAAAGGGCCTGTTGAATCTGACTCGAGGCGGATGAGGAAAATCACCAGATCTCCAGGTAACCTCCTTCACTGTGGCCCCCGCCGCTTCAGTGCCGTTCTCATGAACATTTAGCACTGCTCTGTGGATCACCTGCAAGGACACAAAGCAAAACAACTTCCAGCTGATAACCCATCAAGAAGAGAACAGACTGCCACCCTCCGTGCTCTTGCCAAAGAGAGCCCTTCCTGGGGCAAGACCGAGCAGCACCAGCCTCTGGGAAGGTCATCACCAGCCGCTCCCCTTCCCACCACAGCGCAATCAGCCATCAGGCCACTCCTGCTAGCCTCCTTCACTGCATGTGCAGAGAGCAACCCTCGAACAGCAGGGCACTCAAGATGACTGATGGCAAGAAACTCTGGAAGCAAAGAAACCTGGTAATTTAGCCTAGATTTAGTTTTGCCTTTGGCAACTTCATGTATTATTGTGAATTTACCCTATCATCTAGCTGGAAAAAATAACTTTTTGAAAGCATTAGAAGGGCAGGAATAACCTTTTGCCCTCTGTAGGTGGAATTAGAGGAAATTTTACCAAAGCCAATGTGCTACCTTTAGATAATTTTGTCTGACAGCCAAAAGAACATTTAATTATATGTATGTCTTACTCCCCGTTCTTGAACCATGTATGTTTAACCCCTTGTAAGCATGTTTGGCTTCAGGTTTAGGAAAGATAGGGTTTGCTTTGCCTTCAGACTGGCAGCTGTTGATGACTGAGTGATGCTTCAGAGAGACTGGGATAAGGTTTTCATGGGATGTTAATGTCAGGCTCCTGGGAACAGACAAATCCTGTGGTTGCTGTGTTTCACATGCTGACTTACTTTTGAAACCATCAGTCCAGGCTCCTCAGTAATCCCTGACAGATCAGCTTGTTCAGTGAACAGATCAATCATACCCACTTGTTTGACTATCCTTTTCACATCATAGGTACCAGAAATAGAAAATTTTGGAATGTGCAGATGTATTTTTCTGTAACAAATAACACAAATAAGGACAAATTGTCATCCAGGTAACACTTCTCAGTGGCTTTGGTATAGTGATACTTTGTATTTATTTTTCTAAATGTTAAAAGTCTGCTCTCAGAGTTCAGATAGCACTTCTGACCAGGTTAGCTATCTAACGTGGAGGGTTGGAGCAGAATGAGCCCATGTTATCCTCTGCTTCCACAGTGGGGTTCAAGGAGTGGGGTGGAAGACACAACTAGAGCAACTCTGCGGCAAATAGAGCTACTACTGCCAGGTAACATGTTTTTTTCAAAAGATCATAGCTAGCTGTCCTAAGGCTGTTTGAATATACAACAGGGCCTGGGCCACCCCAGAAATAGCTGTATTAATGGTGAATGAATAAAATTTCTGCTTTTACATGCAATGCCCTCAACACCCTAACACCCAATACCTCAAAAATAGCTACTCCATTGTAGTTTCACAATGCCCATATGAAACAAGGGTCTGTTAACTTCATCATGGTGCTAAGCAACTTGTGGTTGAGCCAGGAACTTAACCCAAGATGGATCTCAAGTTCAATGCCCTATTTTTTCACTACCCACAGGTCTTTTTCATTTTCCAACTAAGAAAAGGGAAGTCCTGCACAGAGAGGGACTATTAAGTGAATAGAGTTCAGAAAAATAACGTGGCCTTTAATGTTTTGTGTTGGTGAGATAAACACTACTAATCTATAACATGGTCACCTCTCACCTCAGCAAAAACACTTACCTGTCTTGGAGGAACTTTTCCCATTTAGACACAGTCCTTTTTAACAGAGCATCTTCCACCTGCTTCATCTTCCCTTCATCAGGCAAAATAAATAATGCTGCAGCATTTCCATTGTAAGGTATCTGAACCAACCAGCAGGACAGCTCTTCATCAAAGTAATTTCTGTAGTAACCCTTTCGGTACATCATGTCAACTTTTACAGACGTTTTCTGATCCACAAAAAAATCCTCCTGTTTTGTATATGAAGTACTGAAGGGTTTCTCCCAATGGCCTTATGACAAAAAGAAAAATAATTCAGTGGAATACAAAGAGGAATGGTCATGGTGAATAAACCAGGTTCTAGTCCCACATTCCTCTGATTACAACAAATATCTTTTCAAGTTACTGCACCCTCAGGTGTTACAGCATTGTAGCTCTTTTTTTTAAGTGCTTGAAGACAATTAAATACAGATAATACTGAAAATGCCATCTTTTTCTAGAGCATGAGTCTATCATCACATTAAAGAATTTACCAAACTCAACAAAGATATTTATTAAAAAAGTCCAGCCTTTCAGTCAACCAGGTGAGGACACAAACATTTATACTGACAACAAATATACATAGTTTTATAGGAATATTTTCCAGATACTGAATAGCGTTTCCTCCATTTTAAAATATTTAAACTACAGTTTCTTTCTCTTAGGTTTTCATTCCCTGTAATAAGCAGTAAGCATCTAAGTTACAGCCTTCACACCCTTTGATATTTCTTACCTTTAAAGAAGACATAGTTAACAAGAACCATTGCAGTGAGAGGATCAAGGTTTTCCACTAGTTTAACAATTTTCCCATTTGTCTTTTCCTCAATATAACTGTTGATCTGATTCTCAGCACCAGAGGAGTTGTTAAAGTCACTAGAAAAGACTTCAGATTCATAAAAGCTTTTGACATCATCCAAGAACTTCTGTAGTGGTTTTAGTGTCTCTTCTATGAAAAGGGCATTGCCCAGGCTCAGCTGGAGCTCACTGTCTGAACGATTCAGCATGTGGAGGAGTTGGCAAAAACCTTCATGTATTTCCTGCTCCTGAGTCTTTCCCAGGTTAAAGGCAAGCCCTTCCAGAATCTGCGTCAGCGTTGCTGACTTGGCACCGAGTGCCAGCATTGCAAAGGAAGCAGAGATGCTTATGGGTGAAAAGAAAATATTTTGATCGGTTTCTTCGGATGCGACCAGCTTGTAAAATGAAAATGCAAAGTCAGCATTGCTGGGAACTAGTTTGACAAAGGCTTTGTTCTTAACTGGATAAACTTCCCTGTGAGAACTGCGTCCTGGGTAATATGTCCCTTTAGGATCATCCTGCTTATTGCGGTAATGAGGACGCTGATGACACTGGGTAACAGTATACAAACCAGCCACCAATAAACACAAGGAGAAGGTGGGCTTCATTTTCTTTTTAACTGTTTCTGGAAAAGAGATAGACGTACAAAACATGGCATGGAAATTAATGTCTTCATGCTGCATGCTCCAGCTGAGTAAAATGAGGCTCTTAGAACACACCTGTTCTCCAAAATCCCACACTTGGATATTTTACATTCCTGATGCATGCCAGTGATCCCCTGAAAAAATATGCCTCCTGATACACTATTTGTATAATCAAGTACTCTCTCAAAAGAGGTAACTTTGATCATATTAACTTTTAAAAAAGAGGGTAGGACTGAATTTTTTTAAATTTGCAAATAACTGGAAACTTATGACCTTTCCCCCAGAGTAACTGGTAGAAGTTGTTTTTGTACCCAGTACTGCAGGATGGCCACTGCAGCCCTCTTAGTCTTCCTCAATTCATCAAATAATTAGAGAATTAAATCCATGTTAAACAAAAATGTGATATAATCACAGATCATACTGTCTAGGACCAAAATCATAAAATACAGTTTCTTCAAAAACAAAATATTGGATCATTATGGCAGCAAAGTCTATAGGTATCTCTTTTGTTTCCAAAACAAATTTTTATTTAATTGTGTGAAGTATCTTCTTCACTAGCAGCTAGTTCTTGCTGGCTTTTGGCATATTTTGATTTTTTGCATAACAGGTACATCCCTTTGTTTACATGTAAAAAAATGCCCTTCCCAGGCAACAACATAATCCCCCCAAATGAAAAGTCCAAACAATTCAAGGGAAAACTAAAAGGGTACTTACAGTGCTACAAAAAGGATCTTGCTGTGTATATCTGGTCTTATCTGCTCCTTCTTCTCTTCAGTACCATTGAACAGGATTAAGCAGACTGCCCCCGTTAATCATTAATTAGTTCAGATAAAAATTGCCAGCGAGGATGCACAGAAAGCTGTAACGATGCTAGATGTTCTGGACAGTTTGTCCAACCCACACACAAGCTAACAGTGCTGGGTGGTGGGGCTGTGGACGAGAGGGAGTGGAGCAGGGACTGTATCTCCTGCTGCTTCCATGCTTGTGGATTGACATGAGAAGCCTGCTGCTGTGGGTGCCTGGCAGGAGAGCCATACCCTTCATGGCTGGAGCTGAACACTGTGACTTCATGTGAAGGCCACCCCTTGCCTGGGTCTGGCTGCAGGGGAGGAAGCCGCCATCACAGCTCACCAGGGAGTGCAGCCTCCCTGCCAGGCCATCCCTCTTAGCTTGGTCCTCGGGGGGCGATAAATGGGACGGGGACACTGCCAGAGTTGTAACCTCTCTGTCAGGATTTCAAAACAGGCTAAGCCATGTTCAGATTTAGAAAGCCCTTCTGCCTTACTGTATAACTCAGTCACAATCTTTGACATCACGTTTAATGGTTTTGGGTCTTTTCCTAAGGGGAGCAGACTGCAGGTGATTGGTGAGCAGTCTCTAGATTTCTTTAGAGAACAACATATGACATTACCACCCTAGTGAGACATTTCCAGTCAATACAGCTGTTCATTCATTGCTGTTGGCCGTTGCCTGTGACTGGGTTGGGGAGTTGGTGAAGAGTTTTCTCCTGGCTTTTTAGAAAATACACGACAAAAACACCACCACTAAGAAACACCAATTAGAATCATAGAATCATAGAATGCTTTGGGATGGAAGGGACCTTTAAAGGTCATCTAGTCCATCCCCCCTGCAATTGGCAGGGACATCTACAACTAGATCGGGTTGCTCAGAGCCCCATCCAGCCTGTCCTTCAATGTTTCCAAGAATGGGACAC